TCCCGCATGCCGCGGGGCGCCTGGGCCCGTGAGCCATGGCCGCTGGGCCTGCGCGTCCGGAGCGTGTGCTCCGCGGCGGGAGAGGCCACAGCAGTGAGAGGACCGCGTACCGCAAAAAACAAAAAACAAAAACAAAAACTCTCTCCTTTGCCTTCTCACCCAGTTGTTGGCTACAAAAGAAAGGATATTCTCTACTATATTCATAGTCAAGTGTGCCAAGTTATATCACTTTTGGCTCCTTAACACGAGGGAAGTGTTAGGGGGATTGTCCCTTTCCTTCCCCCTCAGTTCCATATTTACTGCCCTAGTTTAGTTCCTTCTTATTATCTCTCATAGATCTTTCCTATCACCTTATAAACTATTAAAGGATAGGGACTATGATTTGTTACTTTTGTATTCTCTCTCTATGCCTGACTTAAAAGGTATTTAATAAATATTTGTTGAAATGAGTTATTTATTTATTTATTTATTTTTGGCTGCACTGTGTGGCATGTGGGATCTTAGTTTCCCAACCAGGATCAAACCCCATGCCCCCTGCAGTGGGAATGCAGAGTCTTAACCACTGGACCACCAGGGAAGTCCTGAATTGAGTTATTTATATTAAATTTCTCTGTGAAGACATTGGGAAACATTTCCCAAAGATATGGAACTTGCAAGAAGGGCAAACTTTTAATAGCCTTGGAGCATGACTTAAAGATGGTCATAAAGTCAGTAGAGGGTTCCCCTGCAACAGGGTTCTTACTCTGCTCCTTCTGCCTGAGAGTTTCCAAAAAGACAGCAGCAATGCCAACCCTGGGTATTTTGGCTTTATTGTCTTGAGATTTTTGAGTTTCCTTTATTACTTACTTTCTTTGATCTCTCTCTCCTTCCTCCTCATTTCCTGGATCTCAAAGATTCTTAGCTGTCAGCTACCTGCCAGCTAAATCTAAGTGTGAATTCCACTGAAATGCTGAAGAACGTTCAAGGAAAAACTAATGAAGACAGTGGGACAAGAAGGCTCTGGCTTTTTATCTCTGAGTTGCTTCTGAAGATATCCTTACCTTGCTGATGATTATAACTAGTCCTGGTCAAGTGCCTAGAGAGCAGAGGACCTTAGTGCCTTCTTTCTCTGAACTTTTAACTGGGAAACCGGGGTGCCTCAGAGCCTACATCACAACCTTCAGACACTGACTCTTGCTCTGCTTAGTGTCTTTTCACCTTCCAGCTGCAATCCCCCCTCATGTCCACAACCTAAGTAGTAATGAACATGTATTGGGCATTTAGTATGTACCTGGTAATTTGTTTTTGTTTTTGTTTTTTTTTTTTTTTCTTGCGTTATGCGGGCCTCTCACTGTCGTGGCCTCTCCCATTTGCGGAGCACAGGCTCCGGACGCGCAGGCTCAGTGGCCATGGCTCACGGGCCCAGCCGCTCCGCGGCATGTGGGATCTTCCCGAAACGGGGCACGAACCCGCGTCTCCTGCATCGGCAGGCGGACTCTCAAGCCCTGCGCCACCAGGGAAGCCCTGTTTTTTTTTTTTTGAGGTACGCGGGCCTCTCACTGTTGTGGCCTCTCCCACCGCGGAGCACAGGCTCCGGACGCGCATGCTCAGCGGCTATGGCTCAAGGGCCCAGCTGCTCCGCGGCATGTGGGATCTTCCCGGACCGGGGCACGAACCCGTGTCCCCTGCATCGGCAGGCGGACTCCCAACCACTGTGCCACCAGGGAAGCCCCTGTACCAGGTAATTTAAATGCATTTCCTCATTTAAACCTCAAAACCCTCTTATGAAGTAGATACTGTTATTATTTCCTGGGAAATAGAGGTCACGTAGCTTGCCCAGTGTCACAAGTACCAGAGCTAGGACTCAAGCCCAGGTGTGATAGGCAGATTTCTAAGATGGCCCCCCAATGATCCTGCCTCCTGGTGGTATTCATGTCCTGTGGAATTCCCTTTTCTTGAGTGTGACTTGCTTCTGATGAATAGAATACAGCAAAAATGAGGAGATGGCGCTTCTGTTATTAGGTTACAAAAGATTGTGACTTCCCTCTTGCTAGTAGACTTTATTGACTTCTCACCTTGCATGCTTTGAGGAAGCAAGCTACCATGTTGGAGAGGTCCACATGACAAGGAACTTAGAGCAGCCAATAGCCAAGAAGGAACTGAGGCTCTCAGTTCAAGAGCCCAGGAGAAGTTGAGACCTGCCAACAATCATATGAGTGAGATTGGAAGTGGATCCTTTTGCAGTCAAGCTGAAACTTTGCTTGCAGTCTGTAAGAAACCTTGAACCAGAGATTCAATTAAGCCATACCCAGATTTCTGACCCACAGAAACTGAGATAATATTGAAATAATTTATTTAATTGACAAAGATTTTTTAAATGTTACTGTTCAGTGTTACACAGTACATATCTGTATATCACTCCCAGGTTGCTGATGGGAAACATGCTTGTACAGACTTTTTGAAGTCAGCATAGTATATATATCAAGAGCACTAAAAAAAAAAAAAAAGAGCACTAAAATTGTTTTTAATTAAAACTTTTTTTGTTGAACTATAATTGATTTACAGTGTTGTGTTAATGACTGTTGTACAGAAAAGTGATTCAGTTTTACATACATATACATTCTTTTTTAAAATATTCTTTTCCATTAGGGTTTATCATAGGTTATTGAATATAGTTCTCCGTGCTATACAGTAGGACCTTGTTGTTCAGAAACTGTGAGATAATAAATGTTGTTTTAAAGCACTAAAGTTTTGGGTAATTTGTTACATGACAATAGGTAATATGCCAGGTGAATCTGATTGGTTTCAAAGTTCACGCTCTTCACAATTTTATTAGGTTGTTTCCCACTACTCTATACTGTTTCCAAGTGAGGTTGACTTTCCATCATTTCTTGGATGGCTTCTGCATCCCCTAGGAGAATCCCTGGTTCCATAAGAGGTTTGTTTTTTGTTGTCTCCATTCTTAGTTCCAGAATGCAGAAGTTTAACACCTTTTTAGTCCCTTGCTCTTGAGGTTAGGACAGCTGGGCTAAATAGCTAGATATTTCAACCTCCAGCAGCCCAGAGAATGCCCAATGTTTTTAGGGTCAGGCATCTTTGTTAACTAGTCTGGCTCAGCTGCCCTGCTCAAAATCTTTCTCAGGGTATTTCTCCAAATTTGGACAAACACTGCATAGGCCAAGTCTTCTTTCCTTCTCCAGGTTCCTACTTATATCATTTGGAGTGTCACTCTCTCCAAATGCTATATTCCAGTGAGAGGAGTCATATGCTAACTAGGCTTTTTTTGGAAGGCAAAGATGGTGTTACATTAACATAGACCCTCCCTGGGTCTGACAGGCAGAATCCAACTGGGCCAAGGGCTTGCAAACATGGAAACTTGAGCTGATCTAATGAGGACTTAGAAAGTACCTAGTCTAATGGTGCTCAACCCTGGCATCACAGAATAATCTGGGGAGCTTTTAAAAGGTAGGATGCCTGAGCTCTACCACAAACCAATTAAATCAAAAATTTGGGGTGGATGAGGTGTTGGATCTGTACATGATATTATGTGCATTCCTGTTTTCTGCTCTGGTCTTTTTCACTTCCTCGCATGTATGTACATCATCCTGCCAGAAGTCCTCAGTTTAAAATGACTGTCTTCTCTCCATCCTTCATTCAGTAAACATTTACGGGGCTTCCCTGGTGGTGCAGTGGTTGAGATTCCGCCTGCCGATGCAGGGGACATGGGTTCGTGCCCTGGTCCGGGAGGATCCCACATGCCGCAGAGCGGCTGGCTGGGCCTGTGAGCCATGGCCACTGAACCTGCGCATCTGGAGCCTGTGCTCCGCAATGGGAGAGGCCACAGCAGTGGGAGGGCCGCGTACCACAAAAACAAACAAACAAACAAACAAAACAACATTTACGGACTGATTACTATACACTAGGCACTATATACTATATACTATATACAGACATTGGAAATACAATGGAGACCATGAAAAAAGGTCTAGATGAGAACTGAGGTCTCCAGACATCTTCCTTTAGGCTGTCTTTTTTTTTTTTTTTTTTTAAGGAGGGTGAGACATTTGTTTAAAGTTTATTATTATTATTTAAAAATTAACTATAGCCCGTTCTTTTAAAAATTTTTATTTATTTATTATTGTTATTTTTGGCTGCTTTGGGTCTTTGTTGCTGCATGTGGGCTTTCTCTAGCTGCGGTGAGCTGGGGCTACTCTTCCTTGTGGTGCGTGGGCTCTAGGTGTGCAGGCTTCAGTAGCTGTGGCACGTGGGCTCTGTAGTTGTGGCTCCGGGTGTCTAGAGTGCAGGCTCAGTGGTTGCGGTGCAGGGGCTTAGTTGCTCTGTGGCATGTGTGATCTTCCCAGATCAGGGCTCGAACCCGTGTCCCCTGCATTAGCAGGCGAATCCTTAACCACTGCGCCACTAGGGAAGCACAGTAACCCCTTCTTTATTGAGGTATAGTTGACATATAACATTATATTAGCTTCAGGTGTACAACATAATGATTTGATATTTGTATACACTGCAAACTGATCACCACGATAAATCTAGTTACCATCCATCACCATACAAAGTTACAAAAGCTTTTTTTCTTGTTAAAGTCCATTTTTTAAAATTGAAGTATAGTTGATTTACAATATTATGTTAGTTTCAGGTGTACAGCAAAGTGTGGTACGATCTTTTTAAATTGTTACAGTAAGCTGCAAGGGATAGACTCAGAAGGAAGTCCGATAGAAATTCTCAATGAAAAGAATCTGTTCTTGGGTGGTAGCCCCGCCCACGTTAGAGGGGCAGAAGGCTTCAATTCCCGCCCCACACAGGTGAGGGGGAAGCCCGCCTCTCTCTGCAGTAAGCCTAGTTAGTGTGCGGAGCCGCCTTCATACTTTCACTAAGAAAAGCGGAAGGGGACCCCACCTCCTACGTGCCCGTGAGGGGGCGGGGTCGGAGGACTGGGCGTGAGTTGATTGGCTGGGAGGCGGGGCGCAAAGGGTTAGCTCTGTCCCGGTGCTTTCCCGGATCCCTGCTGGAGTGAGAGGAGGGTGTCCCGGTCGCTCTTCCCTCTCAGCGATGGCGCCGCGGTGCCGCGCCCAGTCTCCCGCCTGCCGGCCGGTACTCACAACTATCGGGAGCCCGCTCAGACGGTGAAAATTGGAGCGGGTCCGAGGGAGAGGCGGGAGGCTGCCTGCGAAGGGGACCATGAGGAGCGGCGAGACCCGTGGGGTCGATAGCGGGAACAGCTGCTGCACCTGCTGAGAGGAAAGAGGGAGCGGCCCGGCGCAGCTGCGGGGCTGGGACGCGGCGGAGGCTCGCCGGCGCCTCGGCCATGTCGTTGCTCTGTGTGCGCGGTGAGTGCGCGGACTGGGGTGCAAGGGCGGACGTCGCCCTGGGGTCTCCACGGGCTTCCAGTGGGCGTCGGGTTACCACCGTTTCCAAACTTTACGTCCCATCCGTGCCTCGGGGAACCATTATGTTAACTCATTTTTGAACATTTAAAGAGTTCTTTCCATTCTCTCTTGTTTTTCCTCATGCTCCTGTGAGGGACTGTTAGCTCTCCGTTCCGGTGGCCATGTGACAGTGCTGTTGGCTGGCAGGCCCAGATCCTATTAAACAGTGTCTGGCGCTCTCCTCTAGCGAGAGTGAACGAGCTAGGGACCGCGGATAGTTGGTGTCTGTTCATAGCGGACAGCCCCCTATTCTTTTCTTCCTTCTCCCTGCACCGTAAAACCTCAGTCGGCTTAGTAGCAGGTTCTTTTTAATCACGCTTTGAACGTGTAGTGGTACAGCTGTCACATCCCTTCTTCCAGCGTATTTCTTGGCTTGCACCCCTTTTTTGCTTGTCTTTGTCCCCTGCTCCTTCTGGGGGTTCTAGGCTAAGAATGTGCTCATATTCGACTTGGAAAGGTGTGTCGGCTTCTCTCCTTTTGGAGCAGAGCATAAGAAATATGATTTATTTATTTACTTCTATCACAGTAACTAAGTCCTTTATTGCTTTTCCACTGACCCACCTAAGAAAATATTTTAAGGCAAGAGCTTTGGGATTTAAGATGAGGTAAGGTGCATGGACTAAGCTCCATGAGGGTAGAGACTGTTTCGTAATGGTTTTTGTATTCCGGGTGCCTGATGTAGTAGAAGCTCAATGCTGGTTTTGAATGAATGCAGGGACTGTGATTTTAGAGATTATCTGATCAGAAAAAGCAGGGTTTGGATTACCCATTGAATTTGATCTTGGGAAATTCAAGTTACAGCCTATCATATCTGTGTTGAGCTAGGTGGAATAAGGTGGCTTCGTTGTGAGTGAGAGAATTTATCCACAAGAACCTTTTCCTGGAACCTTTTACTGGATACAGTTCATGTTTCTTTTGGCTCTGTGGATTAGAAGCATTGTTGTTTGTGATCTCTGTTAAGCATTTTCCCCAGCTTCTGGCAAATGGAACTGATTTCCTCTCTTCTCTTCCACTGTTGTTAAATCTGCTTTAGCCCAAAATGGATTTGGCTCTTTCCAGGGATTATGAGACACACAGAAATTTTTTTCTTTCATGGTTGATTTTTCATTAATGAGAATTTTGCTTTGATTTAATAAGACATTTTCTCTCAGCAGCTGAGAATCTATTTATTCCTTTAGATCCCTGCTGTTGAGTCGCAGGATTTGAGAGAGGTTGGGTTTTGCAATGTCTGTTGGACAGTTTAAATCTCTGCTGTCACACTGTATTACAGAACTAGCCCTTATGAAGGATTCTTCAGGCAGGAGCATTATTGAACCAGAAATTCCTATTTAATTGAATTTAAACTTTAGAGAAGGAGCTGCTGCTGTTTTCATTTGTTGTCATATCAGGAAGCTTTCATTTTCTAGAAATTCTGTTTAGCTAACTAAACTCTTTCTCTTTAATGTTACATTAGTCATATTTCTCCTTCTGAACCTGGAGGATTGGAGACCAGCAGGTCATTGTCTTTTGAATGTAGATCCTGAAGATTATTAATTATGGAAACAAGTGGCTACCTCATACAGAAGTAGTCATATTAAATGGCAAGGTATTCATGCTGGGGAAACTTACAGAAATGGATCAAAATAAATCTTTTTATTTTAAAAATATTTTTGTTATTTATTATTATTATTTTTAATAGATCTTTATTGGAGTATAATTGCTTCACAGTACTGTGTTAGTTTCTGTTGTACAAGAAAGTGAATCATCCATATGCATACATATGTCCCCATATCTCCTCCCTCTAGAGCCTCCCTCCCTTCCTCCCTATCCCACCCCTCTAGGTCATCACAAAGCACCGAGCTGAAAAATAAATCTTTTTAAAAAAAAATATTTATTTATTTATTTAATTTATTTTTGGCTGTGTTGGGTCTTCGTTTCTGTGCGAGGGCTATCTCTAGTTGTGGCAAGTGGGGGCCACTCTTCATCGTGGTGCGCGGGCCTCTCACTATTGCGGCCTGTCTTGTTGCGGAGCGCAGGCTCAGTAGTTATGGCTCACGGGCCTAGTTGCTCCGCAGCATGTGGGATCTTCCCAGACCAGGGCTCGAACCCGTGTCCCCTGCCTTGGCAGGCAGATTGTCAACCACTGTGCCACCAGGGAAGCCCTGAAAAATAAATCTTTTTAAAGTGACATTCCTTGTATTATATTTTGGCAGTTAGGAATGTTGTTCATATTCAGAAAGAAACCTGCGTAATGATATTGTATAACAACTCAATTTCAGTTCATCTTGGAGTAGAATTGAATTAGAAACTTTTTCCATGTAGTCAAAGACATACTGTGTTCTTGGATTGGAAGAATCAATATTCTTAAATTGACCATACTACCCAAAGCAATCTACAGGTTCAGTGCAATCCCTATCAAATTACCAATGGCAGTTGTCACAGAACTAGAACAAAAAATCCTTAAAATTTGTATGGAGACAGAAAGGACCCCAAATAGCCAAAACAATTTTGAGAAAGAAGAACAGAGCTGGAGGAATCATGCTCCCTGACTTCAGACTATTACTACAAAGCTACAGTAATCAAAACAGTATGGTACTGGCACAAAAACAGACATATAGATCAATGGAACAGGATAGAAAGCCCAGAAATAAGCTCACACACCTATGGTGAATTAATCTACACCAAAGGAGGCAGAAATATACAATGGAGAAAAGACAGTCTCTTCAATAAGTGGTGCTGGGAAAATTGGACAGCTACATGTAAAAGAATGAAATTAGAACACTCCCTAACACCATACACAAAAATAAACTCAAAATGGATTAAAGACCTAAATGTAAGACTGGATACTATAAAACTCTTAGAGGAAAACATAGGCAGAAGACTCTTTGACATAAATTGCAGCAATATTTTTCTCTAGAGTAATGGAAATAAAAATAAACAAATGGGACCTAATGAAACTTAAAAGCTTTTGCACAGCAAAGGAAACCATAAACAAAATGAAAAGAAAACCCACAGAGTGGGAGAAAATATTTGCAAACAATGTGACTGACAATACCTTAATTTCCAAAATATACAAACAGCTCATACAACTGAATAACAAAAAATAAACAACCCAATCAAAAAATGGGCAGAAGACCTAAACAGATATTTCTGCAAAGAAGCCATACAGGTGGACAATAGGCACATGAAAAGATGCTCAACATTCCTAATTATCAGAGAAATGCAAATCAAAACTGCAGTGATAGGGCTTCCCTGGTGGCGCAGTTGTTGAGAATCCACCTGCCAATGCAGGGGACACGGGTTCGAGCCCTGGTCCAGGAAGATCCCACATGCTGTGGAGCAACTAAGCCCGTGAGCCACAAGGCACAACTACTGAGGCCTGCATATCTAGAGCCATCGAGGCACAACTACTGTGGCCTGCATGCCTAGAGCCTGTGCTCTGCAACAAGAGGAGCCACTGCAATGAGAAGCCCGCACACCACAATGAAGAGTAACCCCCGCTCGCCACAACTAGAGAGAAGCCCAACACAACCAAAAATAGAAATCAATCAAAAACAAAAAACAAAAAACTTGCAGTGATGTATCACCTCCCACTAGTCAGAATGGCCATCATTAAAAGGTCCACAAACAATAAATGCTGGAAAAGGTGTGGAGAAAAGGAAACTCTCCTACATTGTTGGTGGAAATGTAAATTGGTGCAGTCACTGTGGAAAACAGTATGGAGGTTCCTTAAAAAACTAAAAATAGAGTTACCATATGATCCTGCAATCCCACTCCTGGGCGTATGTCTGGAGAAAACTCTAATTCAAAAAGATACATGCACCCCAGTGTTCATAGCAGCACTATTTACAATCATCAAGACATGGAAGCAACCTAAATGTCCATTGACAGATGAATGGATAAAGAAGATGTGAGATATATATATGTACACACACACACACACACACACACACACACACACACACACCCAGACACAGACACAGAGTATGGAATGTTACTCAGCCATAAAAAAGAATGAAATAATGTCATTTGCAGCATGGATGGACCTAGAGGTTATCATATTAAGTGAAGTAAATCAGACAGAGAAAGACAAATACTATAGGATATCACTTATTTGTGGAATCTAAAAAAATGATACAAATGAACTTACAAAACAGATAGACTCACAGACATAGAGAACAGTTTATGGTTACCAAAGGGGATTAGGGGAGAGAGATAAATTAGGAGTTTGGGATTAACATACACACACTACTATATATAAAATAAATAAACAACAAGGACCTATTGTATAGCATGGGAAAGTATACTCAATATCTCATAATAACCTATAATGGAAAAGAGATCTGAAAAAGAATACATATATATTATAACTGAATCACTTTGCTCTACGCTTGTAACTAACACAACATTTTAAATTATACCTCAATTTAGAAAAAAATTTCAAACAGTATTTAACCTGATGTAGAATTTGGCAAACTGTTATTGATTTAATCATCTCCAGATATCTCAATCAAGAAGTCAATTTCTTGGTCTAACCCTTTAATCATGCCTATTCCCTGCAGGTTAAGGGCTCTCAGTAGTCTGACTCTAGGCCTCCTTTTGGTCCTATGTTCTTGCCTATCCTTATTAGCACTAACTTTGTTCATTCCTGCCTTGGCAGTGTTCCACAATTATACTCTCTGAAGTAGTCTTTTTGTGTTTTCCGCTTATCAAAAATGTATTCTTCCTTTCCCAGCTTACAGTCTCAACTTTTGTTGTTGAAAATGTCCTCAGTTCCTCAGTCCACAGTGATCTTTCTCCTTTACACTCTTTAAACTCTTAAATGCCTTAAAACATAAATTACTTACCGTCTGAACAGTGCCACTAAATTGACAATGAATTGTATACCGCCTAGCAACTAGTCTTGTGCTGTGCTCATGGTG